CTCTATCCAGATGCCTCTGCTGGACAACTAGCCTGCGTGGAAAGGAGCAAGGGCTCTGGAGCTCGCCAGACATGGATTCCAACCTAGTTCTGCCTCTTGTTGGGTATGCGAACATGGTTAAGAGGCTACCCTCACTTAGTCTAGGTCTTCTCATCTGGCGAGTGAAGACAGGAATTTCTTCCTCACAGAACTACTATGAGGATGAAAGAGACAGAACTTCTGTCCAGCGTGGCACCTGACTCACGGCAGGTGCTGGCTGAGAGCTGGTATTATCTGCTATCCTGATCCCTTGGTCCTACTCCTGCTCTAGCCAAGCTGGCAGACTGATTCCCACACCTCGTCCTCTTCTTCCACGCCAACTCACTCCCCAATCTGATTAAGAGAGGGGAGAGACCCAGGTGGAGTCCTGTTCCTTCTCTGGTTCCTGGAGTAACTTCAGGAGAGCCTTGATCCCTTACTGGGTCTAGTTCTCCACCCATATATTGAGAATTATTTAAACCCTGCTTGGCTTGGCTTATGGTGAACAAACAAAGGGATAATATGAAAGTGCTTAAGGAAGAAGACAAGTTGCAAAGAGAGAATTACAGAAGAGGCTAGGGCCTTCCAGGAGGCCAGAGGGGAGGAGATACCTGGGATGGAGACTGTGAGTGTGAATAAAGGAGGGGTAGACATATTCAAAAGGCAGAATCACAGCATCGGTGCCTAATTAGCAAAGGAAAGAGGAGGGGAGCATCTAGGGTGAGGAGGACACACAGGAGGAGGAGCAATGGAGGGGTGATGCTGAGGTCGGCAGGGGTCACGGAGGATGTGGTGAGAAGCCCACAGGTGAGGAATGAGCAAGGTCAGGGAGAAAATGGAGCTTTAGGAGTCGCTTGTCCAGGGACCACAACCAAAGGTAGAGAAAGATGGTAACATTCCCTGAAAGCATGTGTGCAGAGGAGAGAGACTACTCGTTCTCATTATGCTGTGCCCAGCTCACCCTGAATACCTTCTTCTTATGGCTCACAACCTGGTCCCCACTGCTACCTTCCACCCTACAGACACCTCTGAGGACAGGGCCTGAGAGAAACACTCCAGGGCAGGTTCTGGCAGCGAGTCACCTGTACACCGAAGCAGAGTGAGGCAGGGCCTGGGCACAAGCCAAGGTCCCGTATTCGATCCCCAGACCAGATTCTTGCAGCAGGCAGAATGATGCTATGCTCAAGCCCAAGCTGGACCCAGATCTGAGTCCTGGCCTCAAAGTTTACTTACCGACTGTGACTTTAGGCAAGTCCCTTCACCTCTGAGGTCCATTTCCCTCAGGAGTCAAAGATGGACCTATCACAGGTTCTACTTGTTGAAGTATCTGTGAGGTTCAGAAAGGCTCAAAGGTGCAAAGCACTCAGTAGGCTGCTCCATAAATAAGAGTTACTACTGTCATTACTGCACAACTCTTTAAAATGAGCGCTTGTGGCACCTCTTACCTTAAACTCTCCAATGCCAATTTCACTGAGCAAGATCCAAAGTTCTTAGGCCTACCCAATCCTACGTGACCTGGCCCCAGTTAGCTCTTTGACCTCATCTCTTATCGCTCTCCCTCCATCCTCATTTACTGCAGCCATAGTGGCCTCCTGCCTACTCCCTGAACACACTAGACATGGGCTACCTCAGGGTCTCTGCACCGGCTAGTCTTTTCATCTAGAATGTTCTTCAACTTAGATTTTAACACAGCTGTTCCTTCACCTCCTCGGGTCTCTGCTCAGAAGTCACCTTTCGGATAGGCGTTCTTTGACTGTCATTCAACAGTCCCCTTTATCACGCTTCATCTTCCCGTTCCATCGAGGAAAGTCCGTTTTGTCTGCAGATCTATCCCCAGTATCCGGGTGAGTGCCTGGCACATGGCACGTGTTCAATCAACATTTGTGGGACAAAGGGACGCATGGATGCCGACGCATGGATGCTGCTCTTAGATCCAGACACTCAACCGCCTCTCTCTTTCCCATGGTGCAATGTAGTCTCTCTCCCGGCCACCAGGTCCAGAGAGATTCTGGGGGCCACCAGGGCCAGGCTCCTTCCACCGTCGCCGCCGCTCCATCCCATAGAGTCCAGGCTGACTGTGCCCAGACTCCGACATGGTTGCCTAAGGAGGGGTTGAGGCGATTTTACTTGGTTTTACCTTGGACTATCTGAAAGCACTTCTTTTTCAAGAGAGAGCCTAGCGGCAGCAACTGCCAGCTAGCTCCCAATATCTATTCCTCACTTTTTCCACAAAGTAAACCCATCTGTTCTGAGCTATCCAGAACATACTTGTCAACCTTCCTTACAACTAGGTGTGGCCATATGACTAAGTACTTCGAGGCCAACGGATGACGCCAGAGTGTGGTTTGGCAGTTTTAGGAAACTTTCCTAAACTTTTCACAGATGCTGGCATGTGCCTTTTGTATCTTCCTCTTCCTGGCTAGGAGGAATAGGGGTGTAAAGGCTGGAGCTCAAGGAGCCATCTTGGGTTATGAGGCAACTAACTAGAAGGCATGGTAAAACAAGAGGGGATGGCCACATAATAATACCTTCTCCTCCATTCTGCTCTAAGGGTTTTAAGGGTTTGGGGCAAGCACACATACTTGCCCAGTGTGATTTCCAAGCTGCCAGGTCTGGGCCCCAAACCCACTGTTGGCCATGTGAGATCCAGTCACCCAAGTACCACACCAGCATCTGGCCCTCTGCCTTGGGTACCAAAGTTTACTGGAACCCAGTCTCATCCATCAATTTACCAGCCCTCTACTGCTACCTTCCTGATATGATGGCAAAGCTGAGACAGCAGTCTGCAGAGCCTAAAATTAACACTGCTTACCACTTTACAGAAAGTTTGCTGACCCCTGCTTAGCTCTTAAGTATCTGTTAAATCACTCTGAATCCTCCCACCCACCTTAGTACATAATAACATAAACAGGTCCCTTTGAGGGACTCTCTCCAAACTGAAGTATCTGTTTACAGGATGCAGGGGTAATTTTGTTAGCCAGACACTGCTCTCCTGGTCACAAACTGGGTTGAAGATAGTCATCCTAGACAGAGGACAAGGGCCGACTGGCTCCTGGGAAATGACTCCCTCAGCACTTAAATGACTGTTTACAGTCTCAGATGGAGATTCTCCCCAGAACCTGGGACTCCTTCCTCCTTTGCAATTAAGTGCTTATAAGCGCATTATTTCCAAAACCTTTCTGGTCCTTTAAGTATCAGTTTCCAGGCCTCAGTGGGGATTCTGCCCAGCACTGAAGTGTCTGTTTACATACATACAAGGATCCTCTTCCCATGAACATAGGTGTCTGGGCATTATTCGGGGACTTCTACCCTATGAGTCTATTCCATAGTCCTTGGGGAGCACCCCAGAATTTAAGAGCTGGGGCCGGCAGGTGGTGTGGTGGTTAAGAGCAACATAGCCAACCATGGTTCAAGACCTGGACCTGGTGGCTTGCTTTCTCATTTTCTCTGTCTCTTTCTGGTCAAATTAATATAAGCAAATAAAGTTAAATAAAATAATTACTAAAAAAGAATTTAAAAGCCCATCATGTGCTCTCTGGGGACCCCCCCAAACGCTGTTTCCAGTCTCCTCAGGGTATTTCCCCAAAATTCATAAAGCCAGTGTATTTACAGGACTCCTGTGGCGACCTCCTAGAAACAGTCTAATTTACATATTCTTGGGGAGGGGGCTTCCTCAGTACTCTGGCCTCTCTTGCAGTGCTCTTTCCGGCTTTCCCAGAATCTATTTGCAAACTATCCGGGGAGCCTTCTCCAATTCCTATGCTATTTATGCCGACCGCCATGAGGCACTCCTACCCCCGAGTTTACTAGCTCATTTGCACATTTTTCTAAGTACTCCCTAGTACGGAAACGTCGATTGGCTCCTATGTAGGCCAGCCCGTACTGAAGTGTCAGTTAATCGGGCCCTCCCAGGAGAACTCCACAACTCAAATTTCGGTTCAGACGTTATCTGGAGGAACGCCCTGGTATTTAAGCCTAGCCCGTCTAAGGCAGGATTCCCAGAATTAAGTTTCTCTTTACACGTTATTGGAGGGACCTCTCTCGTACTTCCGGGCCGTTCTGACTCTATTAAGGCCCCCCAGAACTTAAGTTCCATTTACTCGTTATCTGCGCCCCCCACCCCCACTGCTCCCCACCCGGCATTTAACCGGCTGCTGCGGGTTCCGAACGCCGCGCAC